TGACTCTTTCACACAAACACACATGTAACAACATTTCACTGTTTCTCACATACGTACGTAAATTGTTTATTTGTTGTTGTTTTTTCTACTTGATTTTATTCTTTCAATGAGTATTTTGGGATTATTCTAAACGGCCGAATTGCGAGCAAGTCCTGCAACAATATTTTATGTTATTGTATCAAATAAGGACACTCCGAATTTTGACATTTAACAAAAACCTGAGTAGAAGGATTCCTACAAATTTCCGAAAAAATAAGGCTCGCTATAGTTTTTGCAATTTAGACGAAAATTAAATTTATATACTTTGAAATATCTTTCCTGGGGTGTTTATGCACTGTTCAATTATTAAACTTAACAACCAACTATTTTAAATTACAAATTTGTACTTAGATTAAACGAAGAAAATTACTTAAAATATAATAAAAATTACTCATAATATTGATGTCAATTTTGACAACACGGGTACACTACTACTACTAATAATAATAATAATAATAATAATAATAAATTCCCTGATGCTACACCGGGCTTGGTTCTCATGGCTGCTGATCTTAACTGATTACCGATGTTAGCACGCACATGGTTTATCTTGGTGAATTAAGGCAGGCTACATTAAATCTCCCTTACAGTACCACAGATTTGCTTGTCACTTGCCTGTTGAGGCTGACACTCTGTGCCTCTATGTACATGAGGATTTAGTCGAGGAGCATCATGACCTGGTGTGGAGGGAGGTGGTTTATTTTTAGTTTAAAGGATGAGGCAGCCAAGGTGAACTGAAAGTCACATCAAGGTACTTTGGAACACTTTCAATCGGTTGCCATCCCAGTGGACTGGGTTACCCAAAACTGAATGTATTTCTGGATCAAAAGCTGCAAGGTTATGCGTTGTTTTTATTGAAACCTGTCGCCATATCGCGCACATCTGCCTGTGATGAATGTGCCTGGTATTTCTTTATCAGACTGGGTGACATGATTCGTATATTTGTACTCCAGGTTTATTTTCTTGTCACGCTGCTCGCATTCAATAATAATAATAATAATGGTTCTTCATTCATATGTGTTTGTGTGTGTTGGCGCGCGTGCCTATATACAATAATGCTTATTTAAATAAGTCTGAAGGCATTTTTTATTCCAGCCCAAGCAAGGCAATAAAGCCACTAAAACACAGGAGGTTACTGAGTGTGAAAGAATATCAAAAAAAGAAAAAAATTAAAGAACAATAAAAAACAAGAATTGAGAAGACAAAAAATAACGATTGACATTGCATTTAAATTTTTGAAGATCAAACTTGACTGAAAAGCAAGAAACCTGAAGAGAGTTCCACAAGCGAATTATTTTCATTGACGCAATTGCATTTCAGAAAGTATTTTAATTGTCTTTGCCTTAACGAAGTCAAAATGTAAATCTATTTGTTTTCTTAGCTGTTATTTTCTCTTGATATCAAACTGACCTATTATCTAGAGACTCCTACAGTCCGTTTGATTTATTAGATGTGAACATCAAAAGACTTGATTTTCACTTTCAGTGAAATAATGGATAGCGGCTCGGATTGAGGAATCGGAGAGCCGAGTTCGAATTCCAGTCGAATCCATTACATTCACTTACGTGCTAATACGATTGGGAAAGTTATGAATCCTCTTCTTCTCCCCCCAACTATGGGTAAATAGCAGAACAACCCGGGTTCTATTGCATTAGATGGCAACTGGTCTACCGCAGAAAGAAATGGCAACCTACTGCGGAAAAAATCTGCCTCGTCTGTCATGTATCAAAAGATATATGATCGCCTAAGCGTGTATCACGCATGGCACATAACTGAATGATCTTTTGTTATCTTTCACAATTACAGAAATTGGGTCGTTTAATTAACAGAATTCGGAATATTATGCTTTTCATCCTTTGCTACCTTCAACTAATTTAACCAGGAGCAATATTTTTCGAATCAATTGTTTTTTTATTCGAAATGCGCTCATATTTGAGGACTCTCTATATATACACATTATCACCTTCTTTGGATTTTAGAATAGTTAGTGGAGTTTCTACGTTACTGAAAAGTACCCACTTTTCATCGCTATTTACAATTTGGTTCAATAGCATAAAATTTCCTTACGTGTACATCGAAAATCACATACAGAAGCTACACATCAAAGCGCCTAACATAACTAAGACAGTGTACTTAACTTAGTTTTATCATTAACATCTCCCACATTATTTAATATTGATTGTTCTCGAGTATTATCTTGAATTGAGTTGGTATATTTTACGACATTTCAACACTTGTTGCGTAATTTAATTTCGAAATCTTTTTTAATATAAGTTTTGAATAAAATTAAAACTAAACACTCTTAAAGCCATAAAAAACACTAAATAAGCATAGTTACCAACTTAGGTCAATTAACCCATTGTCTTGATTCTTGCTACTAATCAACAAGTATTTCGGTTTTTACAACTGTCGTTAAACTTTTAAACAGAAAGTGAAAACCTCCTAAGTGCAAATGGAAACTAATGGAAACTAAAAATATCGGTTAATATCAAGTTCCAACAACTGTGGAAGATATGAATTGCATACTCATGGATCTTACCTGTCCTTGAAGTACGATTAATGACTGCAAGTGTTATCTCGCTACTGGCATATCAACTAAAGATTCACCCTAAGAATAACTGTCAACAACTTGCACTACCAATTAATGATAAATTAGTAGCGCTTCCCCAGGGTATGAGATTGGTGATACGTGCAAAGGAACAAAACTCGCTTGTGTTAAATTCTGAATCAAAGTCTAAAAGCATTAATGATAAATTAACATTAAAATTAATTAAAAGATTAATTAAATTAGAAGACGTCAGTGATGAGTTAGCTAAAGACTCAGTCGCCTGATTTAATTCGCGTTCATTTCGTCTAATCTGGCAAAATGGTGATGTGTTGTTGGCTAAACGATCAACCGCGTAGAAAAATGGAATCGTTGATCCGAGTTCAAATTTTGGCTGAGAGAGTTTTTGCTTCTTCCTCTATGCACCGTGTCCTTTCAGGACGTGAACGATCATGGCTCTCCACAATTTCCTCTCCTTTGTAGCTGTTTGTAAAGCTTGTCTATTTGCTATCCCTCCTAATCCCTGTTCTACTAACCATTTAGACAAGCTCATTATGTACTCAATACCATAGATATTCAATTTATGGTATTCTCAGCATCCTTCGGTAGAACCACGTTTCTGTTGCTACAAGTCACTTCTTCATCTGTGAGGATGTTGTTCTGTATTCACTGCTATCTAGGCGAACCGATATTGCATAACAGTTCAGTCGTATTTCTTTATTTTCTAACCTTTTTCCTGTTTCTTAATACTGTGCTCAGCTTCTGGAAGGCATCTTTCGCTATTCCAATGCGCCTTCGGATTTCGGTATCACATTTTCCAACCTCTCTTAAAACAATTTAATGTTATTTGCAAAAGCAAGAATCTACCCAACTTTTTATTAATATGAATGATTACTTCCTGTTACTTGTAATAAGCAGCCCAACGAACTAATTTTCCCATGATATTTAGATAACAGATGTGTGCTTATCCCTAGAAAAGCCTTAAAGAATCCATGATACTTCCAATATCAATACTATTGGTTAAAAAATGAAATTAAAGGAAAGATTATTTTTTATGTAAAATACATCAAATATTGCGTAAGAATTTGAGACTACATTATTCATGTGTAAAACAATTGTTTAATCACTTCTGGCCTCCTTTATATTAACGTCGGCCAAATCGAGGGGATGTGGTTTCGAGTTTTTCTTTTATCGTTCGATCTTACCTTCTTCCCTCGTTGGTCAGGCGTTTATATAACTTTCTGTTACCCGCTTGTTTTATGCGTGTATATGCTAAGTTCAACTGGATTCTTTTCGTTGTTTTCACACACCGACATTCTTTGGGGGCCAATTCTGTACCAGGTGGCTTTGAGGAGGTCAACACTATAGGCACCTAAGTTTTGGGAGATTTGGCGTTACACCGAATACAAAATTTGCTATCACTTAGTGTGAAACTATTATATACTTGGATCACTATAGATAGACTCTTCTTAGATCAAGGGTTTCTGATGGACAGATTCGAGTCAGACAAATGGTATATTACACAAAGACTGGAATATACAAAATGTTGATTGGAACCTAAGGTGGAAAATTTTACAGTAGACACAGAAATCCTTATATTTTTAACTAGAAAAAATTGATCCCAAGACAGCAATTTAGGATAACTCGACAGAAAATTTATTTTCATTGGTTGACCAACAAACGTATGAACGACTGTATCAACAGAAGTGCTTGAAGGATATTTTCTTTTTTAACTTTTCATAAACAGATCGCAATTAACAAATACATACTACTTCGTTTCTTATCTTCCCATATGTCATTTACTTATTCGTCCGCTGTTTTGTTCTTCTACGGTACACATCTAAATACAGCCTATTCAGCCACACCCTCCTTTGTTATCCATCTGCTAGAACCCACCACTACCTTACCTGTCTATTCATCTATCGGCCCAATATCACCTCAGGTGACAACTAACAATACGTTATCGCTCAGTTCTTGCTATCCAAAACCCACACTTACCGACACCAACCTAAGATTTATTCTCCAAATTTTTGAGATAACAGAAACAAAAATAAAAAAAGAGAAACAAAAAAGGAAAGAAATCACTACAAAAAACAAAAACAATGAATATTTTTCAAATGTGTGTTTGTTGTTTAAGAAAATAAGTTCATTTCTAATTTTAGCTCACTCTAAAATACGGCGAGAAAACGAAGCACAATACGGGAAAACAAAAGCACAACTAACAATAAATAAATATTGTGGCTTCATTTGAACGATCTTGCCTGTACACAACTACCTGTCTTCTTCGCCGTATTTTAGAGTAAGCTAAAATTAGAAATGAACTTATTTTCTTAAACAACAAACACACATTTGAAAAATATTCATTGTTTTTGTTTTTTGTAGTGATTTCTTTCCTTTTTTGTTAACTAACGACACCTTACCTTGTTTTTTGTCCTTGTGCAGATAGATAGATAGATAGATAGATAGATAGATAGATAGATAGATAGATAGATAGGGAAAAGTTTACTTGTGGTGCATTTCGTCCTTCAAGGCTTCATCTACTATTTTGTTTTAACTAGCACTATTCATTTAGAGTCTTTTTCTTTTTCTTTCCATCACTTGTGTTAGCAAATATCCTACACTGTGATAATAGATCTGCCAGAAATGGTGAAATGTAAAAGCCAGGGCGCAAATTTACGGCAGATGACCTTGCGATCAAGGCACTCTCTAGACTGTGGTCAGTCTCGTTACAGTGGACAACCAACGCATTTGACGTATTGTTTTGTAAAATGTCCCTTTTGTGTTCATATAATATTTTATTTAGATTCCTTGAGATTTGTCCTATGTATTTTTGTGACAATTATTACAGGCGATGGTGTAATTCCCCCCTTCATGTCTTATCTTATTGTTTTGTTTAGGATTGACTAAGTCTTTTATTTTTTGGAAGTAGTAGTCACAAATTTTATGTTGAGTTTAGATAGATTCTTTTTTATTGTAAACGTGATAGATGTAATTGTTAGGATAATGTATTTTTGATTCACTGTGTCGCGTTTCGTCTTTTTTTTTAAATATTTTATGGGCATTTTGATTAGCACTGAATATTAAATAATTAGGATACTAGATGAGTTTGAAAGTGCTGTCAATGCACTTCTCTTCTTCGTGTAAATTTCCTAACAGTGTCTGCCGAAAAACTAGAAGTGTTGGAAAAACTAAGCACTAAAAGAGCCAGAACTGCTCGAATTTAACTCCCCAAAATGAATGTTGTAAGCCAGAAATGGCTCAACTATACCAACCGATCAAACAAATGAGTGACAATCAAAACAACAAGCTGAAACAAAAACTCAAAAATCTATGCAGCAACAGCAAGTGGAAATATATGTTGGAAGGCCTAAACTAAAAGAAAATCTATCGGATATAAAGCTCTCTTATACAGAACGAGAAACCCTCGGCTTCGGATTAAAATTTGCCACTGGGACCCAAAAGAGACCTGGTAGACACTGCAGTAAAAAATCGTAACCAAAACGACTCCGAATTCACCAAAGATTTCATTCAATACATAACCACTGCTACTATAGAAACGAACAACGAAAATACATTACCAGAGAGACGCCTAAATGCACTAAAAACTTAGCAAGAAATAAAGAAAATCCATATCACTCCCTCTGACAAAGGAGGTAGATTGTGATTCATGAACAAGAATGCATAAATGAAAAAAATTAACTCACTACTGAACGATATCGACAAATAAACGAACAAAAAATAACTACTGAAAAGACAAAAATCTAACACAGAAATTAGGAAACTAATTAAAAATGAAAACAAATCTTGGTATAGATTCATAAAATATCACCTTAAAACACCCAAACTTTACGGTCTCCCTAAAACTCACAAAACAGGTATACCGATACGCCCCATCATCTCAGGAATAGATGGCGCCCCCACCCCTTAAAATGGTGAAAGCCATAACAAAAATTTGAACCCCTCTCTTTGGAACAAGCAGTCCATCATAAAGAACACAGACAGCCTAGTTGAAAAACTAAGGGAAATGAACATAACTGACAAATGCATGACCAGTCTATAAATATAAAATATAAAATTCCTTTACACCAACGTCCCAATTGAAAAATGCCTAATCCTCATAAAAAAGCATCTCACACAATCAAAGATAAAACTTTCTCTACCAACAGCCATAATAATAAAAATCTGCTGTCTCATAACCAATCAATGCTACTTCACATTTAATAATGATTTTTACAAACAAAAATTTGGATTACTAATGGAATCGCCTCTCGGTGGAGCGATGGTATGTATCTTCTTAGAATTTCTAGAATCAGGTCCTTTCCAAAATATTTTACCCAAACAATCAACATACTTCCATTATATTGATGATGCTCTACTTATATATCCTCATCATGCTGATTTACCTGACCTAGTAGATCAACGAAACAAAGTCCAATACACGATGAAATGTACATACGAAATGGAAGAATACAATTTCTTACTCTTCCTAGATATCTAGCTACATCGTGTTAACAACAGTTTAAAACACGGTGCCTGCCGGAAATAAACAAACAAGATCGACCACATAAATTTCTATTCTCATCATATCAACAAAATAATCATCGGATTCAACTTAAGAGCACTCAGAATATACAGCCCGCATTATTTACACGAAGAGGAGAACTACATTGACAAAATTTTTAAAATTCTCCAGTACCCTAATTATTTTATATTCAATGCGAAACAAAAGGCCCATAAAATATCTCATAACAAAAAACGACCACTCCTGAAAATCCAGATGAATAAAAAAAATACAACATACCAACTAACTCTATCACATCTACAATCAAAATGAATCTATCTAAACTCAACATAAACTTTGTGACTACTACACCCAAAACAATAAAAGACTTAGTCAATCTTAATTTGATCACAAAAACTAAAATTACAATGTGAACGAAATTACTGCAACTCACACACAACACAGAATAGGAAATAAAGCAAAATATCCTAATATTGAAAATTCCTCCCCGTCGAAAATGGCTAAATTATTAGCCGAAAGCGCTTGTGACAATAATCACAATAGATATTTTCTTTACCCTCTTTGTTCTTATAAAACATAAAAACTTCATAAAAGATTACAAAACATCTCTTGTCCGTCGCACTCAATGAAACATGCATAAAAAGAGGATTGTTTCCCAAATATATATATATATATATAGTTAAACCTAGAGAGCCAGACAAGCCTACCAAGCTTTTACCTAAGCGGATCGTATTGAGCATTTTATTTAGTTATTTTGCTTACTCGTATCGGTTTTTTTTCTTTGGACTTGCATGCTAGACGATTATTTTCGGCTGATGTACATGTTCTTGGTTCTTTCTTTTTATATACTTTTTTCCCCTTTGGTATTAATTTGATTATTCGCAAATCAAGACTCCGAAGGTTTTTCCGGACGAGTATAATTTCTTATAAAATTATAAGATTATTACTACTAATATATATATATATATATATATATATATATATATATATATATATTTATATATATATATAAGTGGACATTCAACACCCAAAGGTGACAGTTTGTTTCATATGCTAAACACTATCGTCATGCTATGTATTTGTGTAAGGAGTGTGTGTGTGTGTGTGTGTGTGTGTGTGTGTGTGTGTGTGTGTGTGTGTGTGTGTGTGTGTGTGTGTGTGTGTGTGAAAACTGCTCATTTCACGAAGAACGGAATTGGAAAAAACGGAGAAAGAAGAGGAAGGAGGAAAAAAGTGTTAAAGATGAAAAAAGTAACGAGTAAGCAAGAAAGCCCGAGAAAAACGAAACGAAATGCAGGTGAACGAAAAGCGGGCAACAAATGGCGACAAAGTAAAGACATAAAAAGAGGACTGTTGCCCAAATATATATATATATATATAGTTAAACCTAGAGAGCCAGACAAACCTACCAAGGTTTCACCTAAGCGGATCGTATTGAGCACTCAAAATAATGCCTCAAGTTTTATTACTTCTTTACCTCTTTGATTTCTTTTTTACGCAGGTGAATCTTTTCTTCTGTTAAAGCTTGACACAATGATTGATATTTATCATGATATTAATCTACAGACGGTAGCATTCTCAGACCTTTCTGAAATGTATGTTATATTGAGACTATTTTAGAATTTCTTTCATAGTTTTCCAACCTTTTTCGTGTCGATCTTTATCAGGAGTCTCATGACTGAAGCCTTGGTCCAAACTACACTAAATTTAGTAAATATATACAAATAAGGTGTCATTTTGGAGTAGGCTAATCTCAAATCAGTTGCCTGGCTGAAATACAACTGTTTAGTTTTAGAGAGGTCATGGCCTCGCTCGTCTGAAATTAGTGGACTGGGTGTGTCGTAGGCCAGTTGCTGAAAGAAACGGCCCAGAATTGATAAAACATTCGAATAACTCAACGTCGAGCTAAACAAAAACGATATTCAGGAAATTCAGACATGATTCCGTAATGCACAACATGTCTGGTAGTTTTGGCTGCATCGGTATCTAAAGAATGTCTCAGACTATATGTGCTCTGGCGTGTCCTTATTTATTATATCTGTCTATATTCATCTACTCGTCTTTCTAAATACATTCACTCACTTACGAAACTCCCGTGTGTACATGAGAGAGAAAGACAGTATCGTCATAGTGATAACATTTATTGCTTACGTCGCAAAGACTGAGCTAAAATGCTGCCGTCGTTGGGTTTGGCACACAAACGAAAACTCTGTAGACAGTGAGGCGCACAATCTCTCTATCCGGTGTTTCACTTTTGACTCATTTATTATTAGAACAATTAGTCATTTTATTTTCTTCTTCGCCATTTTTTCAGGAAGTGTCGGTGATTTAATCGTTAATGAATGAAATCGGACAAACTAAGTTCAAACACCGGTTAAGGCAGTTTACGTTCACTTCTCACTAATGCCCTCGGAAAAGGCAAGAATTCAATTATGGGTAAATAACAAAACAGTTCAAGCTCTTTATTCTTCTAAATGTAGTCCATCTTAAGCAATCTATTACAAGTCAAATCAGGGATCGTTCCTTGCTGCCGGCACTAGTACAATCTGTTAACTATTACTGGAAGAGAAAATGAACACTACCCTGTAATCCCGCTGTCTTGACAGATGATATGTAGATGAATCAATAAGCATGATACTCTAAGAATCTAATAAGACATATACTGTATTTAGTGTATGTTGTAACCTAGAAAGGGAATAACCAAAACGGAGTTTGAAATGAAATGGTAATCTTTATAACATCAACAAAATACAATACTCGCCAGCGGCGTCAAGTAGGTAAACCACTGCTGGTGGTGGAACTATTTAGACAGCATATTACGATATTTACCTGCCTCCCCACGAGGTAGGATGCAGCACAAAGCCAAATTTAATGTGGGGAAATCCGAGCCCGTGGACTCGATCAAAAATTGCCCGTATACCCAGCAGATGCGGAATCGGGTATCTGTCTACCTCCCCGGACGAGACTCTGCCCTTCGGCATAG